TTTAGTAGTACCATGTAGCAGCTTAGAAGCATTCGTAGTATGTTTAAAGTTACAAAGCGAGAGCTGCTAGACCTAATAGGTGGAGCTCTATCTGTGGTTTTCTTAATGTAAAAATAATTTTGATTTTAATTTGTCATGAAGATAGCTTGTCGGTACCTACGCGATGGGGAGGTTCCGGATGTGTGCTTTTTTAAGAAAAAAAAAAGATCTAACCTTCTAAATAAAATAATGGATCACCAATTTAAATAAAAATCGATGGTCAGATTAGAGTGCCACTTGACAACTTATAAGCGTTTATAAGGTGCCACTTGGCGTCTTAAGTGTATTTGTAGGATAATAAACTTTTAGTATATAATATTTTTTTTCTAAAATTTCTAAGATTTTATTTAATTTAAGCATGTCAAAAAGCAGCTTAAAGGTATTTATAAAATATGTAATGGTTTTTAACACTGCACGGGGGTGGGGAGGGAGAGAGGTTTGGGATTTTTTATTAAAAAAATCTAACATCCTAAATCCATCAATTTAAGTACAAATTGAATTTCGGCTGCTTTGTATTTTTTAAGATTTTTTAATACTTTCTCTAATTTAATAACACCATGTAGCGATTAAGAAGCGTTTGTAAGATATTTAATATGACAGAGGGAGAGCTGCTAGACCTAGTAGTTGGTTTAATTGTATTTTTTTTTTGCCTATAAGAATAATTTTGATTTTAGTTTCTCATGAAATAGAAAATAACAAAGGAAAGATAGAAGGGAAGTACACGTACAGTAGATACGTACGTTTGTACGTTGGTACCGTATATGTTGGTTTCGGATGTTTTTTTTACAAAATAGATCTAACCGTACAAAACAGTGGGTCCACCAATTTAAGTAAAAATAGATGGTTGGATTTCTATTTATTTATTAGAGTGCCACTTGGCATGTTGAGAGCGTTTATAGGGTGACATTTGGCAATTTAAAAGCATTTATAGGAAGTTTAATGGATTTTTAGTATATAATAATAGATGTATCTTTCAGGAAAATCAAATCAATGTTTTCTACTAGTGTGTATCCAATTTTCTTACTTCCATTCCAAGTACATATCGGAAATACCGGGAGAACGACTTGTTGACAATGAATGCATCGTTTATAAAAAAAAAGTTAATTGGTCATACGTGCGAGCACCCATATTGAATCTAAGAATCGAGTGGGTTGATTAAAAAAAACCCTTACCAGTTAATTTGCGCTCACTTCGCTACTTTGATTGTAGTGTGGTGTTCATTGTTAGTATCAGAATATACTGATAATCTAGACGTGGCTCCAACAGAAAAGAAATATATCTTATTCATTGACCAAGTTTATGAAAGGCAAAGCAAGTCATAATATAACAAGGATGCATAATCGATCACAAAAAAAAAACAAAGTTAAAAAAGACGATATATGCACCGACCATCATGTTAATCACTTTCAAAGGTTCTTGCACGAATTCAGAATGTTACTCGATTGTTTCGACTTTTGACAATACGGGTTATAGCTTGAAATTTTTTCAGACGGTTCTCGCAAAAAGGATAAAAACAAGCAAGCGGAATCCTTCAAAAATCAAAATACGTCATATACTTTATACTCGTTCACACAAACCTTTTACACAGGAATTTCACATAACTTATATAATTCAATTAATTTCAGCAAAGCGGAGATATAAATTTCATTGTTGAAAAAAAAAATCCACATGTAAGCTTCTTCCATTTCAAAGAGACGACAATACGACATCTTCTTACATTTTTAAGAGGCGACGTCCCATCAAATTATCAACCTTATCCATGAGGAATGTGGTGGTAGGAGCATGCCCAACAGCTTCCTTTCTTGATTCCCTATCCTCAGATTTAGGAAATTTTGGTTAAAAATCGTCTCCAACCGAATTCCTATCCTATCTCCCAATAGATCTGGTTCTCAACTCTGGATATATCGTACCTCACTTCTGGGGAGCGAATTTTATTCCCAATCGCGCTCATCTCTCCATCTCGCGCGCGCACGGCGAAAATGTTCTCGCCCTCTTCCTCCTCCTCGCGACCTTGTTCCTCCGTGGCAGCGTGTAACATTCCGGCCCAGGGCTTAATAGAATTAATAGAATACTCATATCAACAAGTTGCAACTTCTTTTTTCGGAAGCCGATCTCGAAAGAACTCTGAGGTTAAGCGTGCTTAGCTTAGAGCAATTTCGGGATGGATGACCGATCGGGAAATTCTTCCCGATTGCGCATGAGTGAGGACAAAGTGTGCAGAAAAGACCTGTGTTGGTTTGTGAGAGAAGTCTATGACCTATACCGGATGTAAGCGGGCCCGGCCCCGGCCTGGGAGAGGCAGGACGTTACAAAATGGTATCAGAGCTGACCTAAGCGGGCCCGGCCCCGGCCTGGAAGAGGCGGGACGTTACAAAATGGTATCAGAGCCAACCTAAGCGGTTTCACAGGCGCGTGTGTCGCAGTTGCGCAGGTATGGTGCGCATGGCTAGTGTGGACCCGGAGTGGTCACACAGTATGGCACATGCGCTAGCACTGGACACACGGACGTGGCCAAGAGGGGACGCCTGGGGTTGATCGACGGGGGCGTCGATCTCTCTTAACGGGGTGAGGGTGTAACATCCCGGCCCAGGGGTTAATAGGATTAATAGAATACTCATATCAACAAGTTGCAACTTCTTTTTTCGGAAGCCGATATCGAAAGAACTCTGAGGCCAAGCGTGCTTAGCTTGGAGAAATTTCGGGATGGGTGACCGATTGGGAAATTCTTCTCGATTGCGCATGAGTGAGGACAAAACGTGCTTAGCTTGGAGCAATTTTGGGACGGGTGACCGATCGGGAAATTCTTCCCGATTACGCATGAATGAGGACAAAGTGTGCAAAAAAGACTTGTGTTGGTTTGTGAGGGCAGTTTATGACCTATGAAAGCTACCGGATGTAAGCGGGCCCGGTCTAGAAGAGGTGGGACATTACACAGCGCCATCAGCAACAGGCTCTTCCATGGCGGCGGCGGCCTCTTCCTCGGCGGCAGCGGCGCCAATGACATCGTCCTCAACGGCGGCGGCGGCGGCGGCCTCTTCCTCCGCGACGTGGAGCGCATCCCCACCCCCAAGATCCCCGCCACGCCCGTCCAGGCCTCCTAGATGCTGTTCGACGTCGCCGAGTCGGCGCGGCGTGGCGCGGCCGGAGGAGCGCACCACCGGGGCGGTCACTCCTATCAGTGCTAATTCCTCCTATATATATGTAGCAGTTATTTACTTTGTCCAGTGTTAATCTAGATACATTGCATCCATTTTGAAGAAATGAGACATATATGAACTAAATTTCATTGCTGTACACTGCCTTGGTTGTGTAGAGAAGCTTGTTGTTTATGTGCTGCAAGCAAATATAATGGTTTCAAGCCTGTCTTTCATTCAATCATTTATTTGGCATGAACAGGGAAAATGGATGGAAGTGGGTATTTTACAAACTTGATAAATGAGGGTGGTCGTACTTTTGCTGCTTAAATAGCTGCTGTTGCTGCTTGTACTGGTGAATGCTGCTGCTGCTGAAATTTCTGCCTAAATAGCTCTTGTTGCTGCTGTGTGATGGATGCTGCTGTTGCTGCTGCTGGTGGTGGTGAATGCTGCTGCTGCTGTGTGATGATGGATGCTGCTGCTGGTGGTGAATGCTCCTGCTGCTGCTGCTGATATGATGCAGGAATTCGTGCTGCTGCTGCTGCTCCTGGCATATACGCAGCTGGAATGTTGTTGCATATAAGTAGATTGGCGTTGAGGAGGGAGATCGGCGTCGAGGCAGGGAGACTGGGGCGACGTCGGGGCGGGAGGTGCGCCAGGAGGGGAAGGTGCGGCGAAGGCGCCAGGAGGATATCGCGATGGTATTCCGTGATCGCACGATGATGGGAGGAAAACGGGAAAATTTAGTTGCTAGTTTAACAGAAGGCACACTTTTAGTTTTTTGAAATTGAATTTAGGCCTTCTTTTGGAGGAAGGAGTTCTATCACATTCTATTTTCAGTTTAAAAAACCTAAAAATCAAATTTTAGAGATAAATTATTGGTAAGCTGTTGGGCATGCTTAGGGTCTAGGCAGCGCAGAACGCATCGAGAGAATATTGCAGCAGGGAGGGCTGACGTACAAATTTGTTTGTAGTCAGGATCATACATTGTATTAATTATAAGCTTTTGGCTATGTATTTAAACTCCCTCCTAGCCTTCTACTTTCTCCGTTTTATATTATAATATTTTTTAGCATTGCCTATATATAAACATTAACTTCTTTACTAACAAGTTTGAACTTTTTTTTGGTTAGATTTTGGTTCTAGGTATATAATATCCAAACATATAATTCGTTAGGTATGTAATAATGAATTGTGAAATAAAGTTGAGTTTGAGTTATTTTATTGTTAGTTATTTGTATGAATCAAATTCATATACCTAGATATCTACTTACAATTTGTAAATTTTTAAAAATTTAAGAGAATTTGTGTGTTTTATACCTTGGAGCTCGGACGCCATAGAGTCCCATATGAATATATATATATGACACTCATATGGGGCACCATGGTGCCCGGGCACCATGGTATCTAATGCACAAAATCACTCAAATTTTTTAAAATTTTCAAATTGTGAGTATATACCTAGTTATAATAATTTGATTCATACCTATACTTATCAACAAAACAACTCAAATTTAACTTTATTTCACAATCCATGATTACATACCTAACTAATTATATGTATGGATGCTATATACCTAGAATCAAAATCTAACAAAAACAAGTTCAAATTCAGTTCAAACTTGCTTTAAACTAGTTAGTAAAGTAGTTAATGTTAATACCTAAGTAATTGAAAAAGTTTCATACTCATTTGAATTGGGTATATACTCAATTTCAACAATGGTGCCCGGTCACCATGGAGCACCAAACAAATTTACTCTATATATATATATATATATATATATATATATATATATATATGCGTGCGCGCGACTGAAACAGAAGTAGTATCAAATATAACGCAGTCCAATCTGACTATCCATTAAAAGAAATTGCTCAAAGCAAGAGCAGTATACTTGAAAAAAACAAGCGCGTGTACTGTAATTCCTAAAGAGGGGCTTAATTTAACTTGCGTACTTTTGTACAATTGAACAAAGGCCATCGCACGAAGTACGGACGGCCGCGATCGATCGATCAGCCCACGTGGACGGTGGAGGTGCACTGGGGCGACGTGGTCTCCTTCCTGAGCGGGAACACCGTGACGCCGCACGTCACCACGGAGCTCGCCCTGATCTTGAGCACGCCCAGCACCACCGCCTTCCCCGCCACCGTCGTCGCCGTCTCGAACGGCAGCGCCCCGGCGATCCCCTCCAGGGGGAAGTACGGCGACGAGAACACCTCCACGGCGTCCACCTCCACCGCCGCCCTCACCTCCGCCGACGCCCGCGCCCCGACCTCCCCGCGCGGCACCACCGCCTCCCCCACCGCGTCGCCGTGGTACCGCACCACCGTCACCACCTCGCCATACTCGAACGCCGCGCGGTTCGGGTTGTACGCCGCCACGGCCACGTCGAAGGTCAGGTTCAGCGCCGGCGACGGGATGAGGGCGAAGGCGGAGACGCGCGTGCCGACGACCGTCGCCGTCACCCGCGGCGGCCGCGGCCGGAGCACGGTGAAGTAGAGCGCGGTGAAGACGGCGGCGAGGACGACGGCGGCGGCGAGCGCCGCGCCGCAGCAGATCAGCGCGGGCTTCCTCCTGGCGGCCATGTCCCCCGGCGGCGAATTTGGCGATTAATTGACGTGCTAATTATTTTTTCTTGATTTTTTTTGGGGGATTAATATGCATGGAAGAAGGGGAGAGAAGGGTTGCCATATGTAAAGAAGGGAAGCTGCATTGGAATTTCAGCTGGTTTTTGTTATTTTCCTTTCTGTTAATTTGGGGCTTTGTACATGTTTATAATTAATTTGCCTGCTAATTTATTTAGTTTTCTTATCGTCGGTGTCCGTTTTGGAATTAATTTTGGAGATTTGTGAGCTGATGGAAGGATTCTGTGGAGATTGTGAGGGGCAATATCTTCTTATGATATCTGATTTGCTATATATATTTCCTTGTTCTTTTTTCAGCCACACATCTGATTTAATTTGTGTCTGATTTGTTCACCATTTTTTTTTTGGAATAAGAGGGCTTACTGATTTGTTCTTTTATGAAAGTTAAGGTCATTTCTGTCATGCCTCTAGGTCCAAGAAGGTAACATACGAGTACATGGGGAAACTGGAGTTTGGTAACAATATTTTTTAAGGTTAATTTAGTTAATGAATTTTTTTGAGATAATTTAGTTTATGAATTTGTGATATCGGCTCATTATGCAATTAAGGAAGGAATTTATGATAGTAAACAGCACCAATATAAGGGCCCAAAACAACATCATAGCACAGCCGCCTGTCTCAAAATTGAAGAGTGCTACACTGCCGCATGTTTATTCAACTCTTGGCTCACAGTCTGAACTGTGTCGACACTCGACAACGACGTAACGCATTGTGCCTTTTGCCGTCGTCGTCATTGTTTCGTCCGTTTTACCCTTTGTTTACTCTATCGATCGATCGTTCCGTGTGCAATCGAAGAAAAAGTCTTTTTCAGAGTTTGGACAGTAAGACAAGTTCAGAATTAAGCAAGAAATTATAAAATTAAACTCGAGTCCTGACACGACGTGATGCAAAAAATTCATCATTTAGTTGGGTATCCTTTTTGTACTCTTGGTCACTACGCTCTAGCTAGCTCAGTTTAATTGTAATCCGACGAGATTATATTATGTTGCCTTGTTATGTCGAACGAAAGCTCAGCCTCTGAATCTCAACCTCTAGAAGCAAGAACACTGATGGACACAGCAGAAGCTGTTCGCGTCGGTGTCACCGATGCGTTTAAATTTGGCTCATCAAAATGTTATAATTTAAAACTTATATATTTAATTATAGCCAAAATTAAAATTGTTAACTACTCCCTCCATTCTAGAATATAAGAACATGGTACGAGATTTAAAACTAACTCCATGTCCCATAAAAAAACGAATCTAGTACTGGATGTGACATATTATAGTACTATGAATCTAGACAGATATATGTCCGGATTCGTAGTACTAGAATGTGTCACATTCGATACCAGGTTGGTCTTTTATATGACGGAGAAAGTAGATAGTATGAATCTGAACAGACTGTATCATTCTCGTATTATATTTTAGGACGAAGAAAGTAAATGAGAACTGAAGGAATGCATATATGTATATATATACACTCAAAAATTACAAAATGAAACACTGTAAAAAGTACTCCAATAAATAATAAAGTTTGTGACATGTGTAGTGTAGTGTAATACTACGTAGTACGTGTGTAGTTTAGCTAGTCATAGCTAGGAACAGAGTTACGTGCGCCACGGGCGCCGGATGGCTCCGACGAGACGGTTTCCGTGGCCGTGCGGACGGTGGAGACGCAGCGCGAGGTGCTCTCGCCGTGGAACACGTACATCTGCACGAAGCACACCACCTCCACGGACACGCTCACCTCGAACGACCGGAGCACCAGCGCCTTCCCCTCCACGGTGGTCACCGCCACGAACGGCAGCACGCCGGCGGCCGCGTCGTGCGCGAAGTGCGGGCTCTCGGCGACGCGCACCACGTCCACCGCCGTCGCCGGCTCGATCAGCCGCGTCGACCTCGCCTCCACCTCGCCGCGGGGCACCACCGACGCGCCCACGCGCTCGCCGTGGTACGTCACCGACGCCAGCGACTCGCCGTACCGGTACGCCGAGTTGCTCGGGTTGGTCACCACCACGTGCACGCCGACGGCGGCCTTCAGCTTCGGCGGCACGAGGCTGAAGAGCTCGATCGTCACGTCCACCGGCGTGGCCACCACGCGCGGCGGACGGGGGCGGTAGACGAGGTAGAGCGCCAGCACCAGCGCGCCGAGGACGGCGACGGCGGCGAGCAGCAGGCAGCACGCCCTCCTGTGCGGCTTCGTCTTCGTCTTCTTCCCCTCCGTCATCGATCGATGCTAATTAAGCTACTTTAGCTAGCTCTAGCTGATGATGATGATCTTGCTGATCAGCTCGAAGAACTCGTGATCGATCGAATTTTGTTTATCTTGATGTATATATGTACGTTTTCTTGTGCTGGTCAGTGTGTGTGTGTGTGGGGGGGGGGGGGGGGGAAGGATGATGATTATGGTTTGAGTTTATATTTCGTCTGGTTTTTGTTTGCATGTCCTGGGCAACGTTCGAGCTTACTTGATTCTGGGTTTTCAATTTGGTTGTTTGGAAATTCGTGTGCATATCTTGGGAGAATGGCTTGTAAGCAAGGGCGTTTTACCCAACTGCGATCAACAGCACGGATTATGTGTGTGTGTATGTATATATAAACCGCCATGCACGGTATTGATCGCATTATGGTGTAATTTGCCTTTTGCTTCTGAATTGGCTGCAGTGGCATGGATCCAATTTGAAAAAACAGCAGTATACCACTGGGGGCACAAGCATTAAAGCAAAGCAATACTTACCAAGAATAATTTTGAGCTGACATTCAATAGATTCAGAGTACAGTACTTGTATATCTGGGAAACAATTACCAGAATTCAGCGTATTGCACTTGCTTGTTTTGCCATGTTTAGTTCCCAAAAGAAAAACTTTTCACCCATCACATCGAATGTTTAGACACATACATGAAGTATTAAATGTAAACAAAAAAAACCAATTGAACAGATTGCATGTAAATTGCGAGACGAATCTTTTAAGTCTAATTGCGCTATGATTTAACAATGTGGTGTTACAGTAAACATTTGCTAATGACGAATTAATTAGGCTTAATAAATTCGTATATGTAATTTGTTTTGTTATTAGACAACGTTTAATCCTTCAAATGTGTGTCCGTATATTTAATGTAACACCACAAAACAAAAATTTTTGCCATCTAAACCAGCCCTTTGTTTGTAGAACATAGAACAAAAAGGATGTCAGACAGTAACATCGCGCCACAAAAGCGAACTTAAAAATACTGGTTACCGTAGATGAATTTTGAGACGGAAGACAAATCCAGAGTAACGAGTAATGACAGGTGCCATCACAACAGTAAACAGAGTAACACAACACAAGTCTGGACGAATTAACGTAGGGTATAGTTAACAAGGATCCACTGTCTTATTGTTCTTACGAAGTCGTTTAGCAAAACAGTGAGGTCCCTACCTACTATTACTATATATCATGACCCCAACTTCTCCTCCTCTGCCAACCCACTACCCTCTTTCACATCTTGATATATTAAGAATTCCTACCCTGGTATAACAAAATAATGACTAAAACTAGTGCAACCACTAAGCTTGAGGCTGCTTCTGAAGAATAATCTTGTTGTTCAAATGTTCTTCCCAAGCTCGACCTTCTTAACCAGCCGCAAGGTGTTGTGGAAGATGGAATCCAGTATTCCAGCAACCTAGAATTCGCATGTCATTTCATTAGCCATGTACACTTGATGGATTCAGAGAAAAGGAAAAGATAAAAAAAGGGTGTGTGCTCTCACCGTGAAAACTCCTCCAATGATAGCACAAACATTTGTGATGAAATGGGAGAAGGATTTTGGAAGTTCAGTTACCAAGACCTTGGAAGTGATGATAAAATAAGAATTAGTTTTTCTTTCAGTTATGAACCAAACGAAGAAAAGGTGAGATGCCAACCTGCATGGGAGAAGGTTCAAAATGGAATTTCACAACAGGAACATAGAAGCTGTGCACCAAGCTGCTGTGCGCTGTGTATTCATACTCCTCAACCAGTTTCAATTCCTTTGATGATCTCAGTGTAACAAGCTCAGTTTTCACAATTTGCAGGTAATGCTCAATCTAAGAATGACAAAAAACAAAAACTATGTTACTCCATAAGAAACCAGAAAATTTAGTGCTGGAAGGCATGCCTGCTGTAATCATCTTGATAACAAAAACAAAGCAAAATTTAGGGACTTACAGTAACGTTGGCATTGACATCACCATGCTTAACAATGTAGGATTGACCAGCTAATCTATCATGGTGGCCACCAACATAGGGAGTTAGTCTTTTCAGTTCATTAAACATCTTTGCCGATAGCCTTTTGCCAAAAGAGAACTGTGTTACATAGTGGGAAACATTTATCTGGGATGGATCAAAGGAGTGGGAACCAGATCGAGCTGAGATTACAACACTCCCAGGGACCTGATAAAGAGGAACCAGAAATCAAATACCACAGATAGAGATCATCATCAACACTACAACTATTACACCTCAGAAGTTCATTTACCTTTTTTACCCGCACAAAACCTTCTATTCTGCATCCACTGGTCAATGGAGCAGGGCGTTTTGCAGGATCAACAGTCTTATTGGATTTGTCCTCCAAAGCTAGAACATGGGCATCTTTTGGGATGTTTGCAACATAAGTTTCCATTGCCTGAGGCCCAAAAAAATGTCAGGAATTTTATCCACAATTTGACAAGACCATGAACAAAGTCAGTGATTTACAAGCAAAGGATAGTTAGCCTTTTGTTCTCCCTAGGAAAATGGGGACAATACCTTTTACAGGTAAGCTAAAGCTTAGGGTGAAGAATATATCATGCAGTACATCAAGAAAAATAAGTGGGTAACAGAATATACATACCGCTACTAAACTCTCAGTATCACGATCGCCGTAGTATGATTCATGATCATGGTGACCCTGGTTTTCCCTGCACAAATGTCAATTTGTTTGTTTCTGGAACATGAGCAAAAAAATAATAATAATACAAGTCTTGCGCCACAGGTTAACTCTCAGTAGAGTATCCGGAAGACTGTAAGATTTACTTGAACTTACTTAAGATCACTCCCTTTACGGAAAATGCGAATGGATGGATAACCTTGTATATGGTGCCTGCATTTAATAAATTAAAACAATGAACTGTAGTCCTTAATTTAATGACGAACAAGCATAACAAGAGCACATATAATTAGGTAAAACTAGTGGGAGAACAATTTAAGGCTTCTATTGAGGAGTTGTGGTTCACATCCAATGCGCATAGCTTGAAATGTTACTATGTGCATCAATGGCAATGGCACTATTACACAGAAACCAGTGTCATCAGAAGCAGAATGGCTCATTTTCTTATAAAAACATGGTCAGTAACAATTAGGGTTGTGATCTATGGAATAAAGGCTTTTGAATCATTCCAAATGCAAACAAGTCCAGAAGGCATAAGCATCCACTGAACCAGGATAAGAGGACACAAACACGAATAGCTCATGAAAGATGTGGCATAATAATGACACTTTGTTGGGGATATTAAAAACTAGAGTAAAGTCCATCACCGGTCCCTAAACTTGTATCGTTGTGTCATCCCGGTCCCTAAACTCGCAAATCGACCGTTCAGGTCCTCAAACTTGTTCGACTGTGTCATCCCGGTCCCTAAACTTGTAGATCACTCGTATAGGTCCTCCAATTTGTTCAGTTGTGTCACCCCAGTCCCTAAACTTGGATTTGAATATCATCTGGGTCAAATAGGACGGTCTAAAGACTTTATATTTAAAAATAATTCATAACTTTTTCATGTGAACTCTAATGAAAACAAACTTTATATCAAACTTGTAGCCCTCGACGCGATCTACAACTTTGTAGTTGATAATTTTTTTATTTTAAGTCATTTTTTGTCCCAAAATGTAATTTTAAAATTAAAATTACAAAATCTATAAACATGCAACAATATTTTGGGACCCTAAACAGTTTTAATTCAAAAAATTTTCAACTACAAAGTTGTAGGTCGCGTCGAGGGCTACAATTTTGATATAAAGTTTGTCTTTATTAGAGTTCACATGAAAAAGTTATGAATTATTTTTTGGTATAAAGTTTTTAGACCGTCCTGTTTAGGGACCGGGGTGACACAACTGAACAAGTTGGAGGACCTAAACGAGTGATCTGCAAGTTTAGGGACCGGGATGATACAGTCGAACAAGTTTAAGGACCTGAATGATCGATTTGCGAGTTTAGGGACCGGGATGACACAGCGGTACAAGTTTAGGGACCGGTGATGGACTTTACTCTAAAAACTAATTAACTAAATTTCTCTTGGTACATGGATCAAAAAGGGATTTGTAAAGTTCATGTTGCAGCCTAAATATGCTTTGTCCTTGTTTTGGATATGAATAATAATTAAGTACAGACGAACCTCCTACACAAGTCAATTTCTTCAGTGCAGTCAACCTTGGCAAGAATGATTCTGCCATCCATTTCAGGATCATATCTGCAGAAAAAAAAAACAACATGGTATAGATTAAACAGCACATTAAAACCACAAAACACAAACAAAGAGAAACAGTATGTACCTCTCCCTCATTATTTTTGCAGTCTTCTCCCACGAAGGTTTCTGGAGGAAGATCAAGTAATTAGAAATGTCTCCATTTGTTAGTTCAATAAGCCGTGCCATACTTACATTACTTTACCAGCAATAATTTACTAATCATTTCCTTACAGATAGAGTAGCATATACTAGAAAATCACTAAATGCAAAGGAACAAGATGAATTCTAACCAATCGATTGCTCCAGTAACACCAGGGGGCATAAAAATTAACAACCAAAACAGGATACCTGAAAAGGAAGTGCATGATAATAATCAGTGGAAACAATATTTGGGCTCCGAAACAATACAAGAGGGATTAACTAGATATACCGAACGGCACTTCAAGGAAAAATACTTGAGGCAGGTAAAAGTGAAGATTATCACCAATTTGCCATAGACAATCTGGTTGAAGTGATTGGAGCTATGAATATAAAGTACATTTCTCCATGAATGTGAAGGAGAAAGAAGACAGCATACATGAATAATAGGTTGACCGTTGATATGGTATTGAAACGCACAATTGCTAAAATGCTATATGTTATGTGTTACGGATAGGTGGATATTGAAATACATATTTGAATACTTACTGGTGTGAATAGCTATCAAAATTGCGAGAGGACAAGGGAACTGAACCATCATCATGGTTTTCTTCAACATCATCTCCATGTTTGCTGACCGTAGGAATAGGTCCTGGGTGGAACTCGGATCCAGTAGGCACTAAATTCCGATCAATTGAATATTTGCGAACAGTTTTCGTTATGTTCAATCTGTTCTGCATGTGTTTTGAACAGAAACTTTAAGGTTAAACCAGCATGGAGAAAAACTCGAGCTACAAAAGGCAAGATATGATCAAGAAATGCTTATAGATAGAAAGTTAGTTAGGAATTTAGGATAGGTTTCATTCTTTTGACATGCACAGAACTTTACAAAAACTGATAAATTGTCATATTTCGTATTTTTAACATTGGTGTAAAATATACATGTAGAGCTTACTTCCTCCGTTTCACAATGTAAGTCATTCTAGCATTTTCCACATTCATATTGTTGTTAATGAATCTAGATAGATATATATGTCTAGATTCATTAACATCAATATGAATATGGGAAATGATAGAATGACTTACATTGTGAAACGGAGGGAGTACTTTTAAAAGCTAGTGGAAAGTTATTTGTAATGGCAAGTTAACAAGAAAATAAAGTCAACAATAGTTTTTATGGAACGCGCAAGATGAGCTTCATGTCCTTCAATGATATCCTCATTCTAGACGGCAGATGAACAAAAACAGAGTACATGAGGTCAAGTTAGAATCTTACTGTTCCCAGAACATCACTGACATCAACTGATGCAAATTCGCATGAAAGTGCAGGAAAGCTGTAAATCACAGAACCAGATCGTGAGCATCTACTGGAAAAACAAGGAAAAGTTGAGTCCAGCTTTGCTGATGTCATTCCATAGAAAACAATGGGCAACCAGCTAGACTAATGTAGATACCCTCCTATGCATTATCACATACAAATAAATGAGCAGTGCCTGACTAGTCCTTGTTTGCTGGAAAGCATCAATTTCAAGTATAAACAATGGCTCTCAGGTTCATATAGACCAAGGGTTGAAAGTGTTGAGTAAAAGAACAACATCAGAATTATTCTACAAACATATTACTACAAATGGTTGGATCTGGTAATTAGGTGACCTTTGAAGATAAATGAATTAACTGAGAATCATATGTTTTTTTCCACAATGCACCAAATGAGTACAAATACATTGAAAAGAATGTACTGAGTGCCTGACATTAATTAACGCTGTGCTTTGCTGTTGCATATATAGTATTCCATTAAAATTAATCACAATAGGGATAAAATTACTATCAGCAGATTAGAGAATTAGGAAGACATTAGTTCTATGAACCATAATGATAGCAGTATTATCTATGTGATCATGAAGGTTCTCATTTTGTATTCTAACCTTATTACTTGTTGAGATGTGCAGCATGTGCCATAGAATTTACCTTAAGTTAAAATCTATCCGTAAGAACTCCCCATCTGAACTCCTATCAACAATCACAGATGTGCTAGTATTGACTGCTAAGTAATTACTCAGTTCCTGCAATAACAATTGAACAGATTTAGCTTTTCAGTTGAAATGAACCTTTAAACTAGTCTAAAGCTTGATTAAGGAATCAGCTCAGCATAGTGAAAAGTATAGCACATTGCAAGCCTTAACAAGCAACAGCCAAAATTATGCATATGTTCCGGAGTAATTACAATATACTTGGGCATATACATTACTTAACTGCCACTTTCAAGGTTGGATGGACCAATTGATAATTCGGTCAAAAATATTCAACCAAAATAGGTTCAGTTAAGAATCTAGCCTATCATGAAGCTCTAATAGTCAATTGAAACAGATATCAGGAAAAACGAGCTATTCTCAATCATCAAATGAAACAAGCAAATCGAGACTCTACATTGATCCGGCGATAGCGATTAGCTACACTACAGCAGTTGGAATGGTAGAAGACAACTAATCTGCATATAAATAAATAAATGCTCTATCATTTTAGTATGGCTCTGTACCAAATTTCAGTCTACAATCACCAAATGGAACAGAAGAACAGTCCAACCATTTTTTGTTTGTTTCCCTAAAGACTGGAACCAGAGTGAAAAAATGAAATCTAAAAATAACAGTGCAATCGCTAATCCAACGAAAACTGACCATTCCAAACAAAAACACCATAGCTAGTGCTGCTACAATGGACAATCCAGCCCCAGATAGTGATGCCTCGGTCAAATCCCTAGGAATTTTCCTGCAAGCACGAAAAGAAAAAGCGCATCAACCAAATTACCCATCTCAGTAGAAAATACACCAGACATTACACTACTCGCAACGACCGCACGAATGGTCAATACCACCACATACGCCCACGCAACCCCGATTTTCTCGGTGCATCAACGAACCATCACAAACCATCTACTGCAATCGCCAGAACAGCCAGGCAAGAGAATTCACCCAATCCGAACCCGGACCAGCACCCCCAGCCGAGGACCGCGTCGAAATCCCCCCCGCGCGCGCGCGCACAGGGAGTACCATAGCAAGCAATGGAGGGAGAGAGAGAGAGAGATCGGGAGTGGAGGGGACCTGTAGAAGTCGACGGACTTGAGCTTACTGGAGGAGATCATGGCTGCCGGCGGCCGGGCCCTCCTCCCCGCCGGTGACGAGGTGGGGGTGGGGGGAAGAGATCGGGGCGGCGCGTGGAGAGATCTGGAAGGAAGGAGAGGGAAAGGGAGGAGGAGAGAGGCGAGATCTCTGTGGGGGGTGGAAAGGGAGGAGGAAGAAGAGGCTGTCCGCCTCGCGTCGACGCTGCTACGGTGCAGGGTCGCGAGAGATTTGCCGGTTGTAACTGCAACTGCAATTGCTGCCCGCGTCGGTGTTCTTTTGTTTTCTTTTCTTTTTTTTTCTTTTTTTTTGATTGGAATAGGGCCGTATACAAACGGGTCCATCCGCGAAACTAGTTGATAACCTATGAATTCCCTTGCCGCTTTCCACGCCTTAAAAATGTAAGTGGATCAATCCATAAATCTATTTATAGCTTGAATTAGTAGATAAGTCATGAGTCAATCCACGGTTTAACAAACTAATTTTGCCTACAAATAGATTCATGGGTTGATCCGTTAGAATCCTTATGACCGATTTTAGGATAGGTAAATTGGAGTATTTTGGATAAGGCCATAGGATAAGAGTAATCTAATTGATTTAGAGTGATGTGGTGACAAAATAAGTAAATGATGATGATTTTGCAGCGGCATCTTTTTTAAAAAATTATTTTTCTGTAGCATTGAAATTGATGATATTTTGGTCCTACATGCCAATTGGATATGTAACAACTCATTAAATTAGAAAACATATGACTTGTATGATTTTTTTTATTCAATTACACATTAGACACACACCCACACACACTATTAAACATGTAACACCATACTCACACACGCTCACGCATTATGTGAGCGCCTGAGTTTGTACTTCTAAAAAAAGAGACAAAAATCAATGGCACATCACTCATCTCACTAAAATTTTGTTGAAAGTTCACCTATATGTGTAGGCAAAATATAATATTCGTGGTATCAAGATTTTGAACCCTGGTGAATGGTGGAGTCATACGCCTACGACTCTATCACCATATAACTAGTGTTTTCCCTGCATGACACTTTTTAATCTCAAGTGCAGGATAATATTCACTAAATAAGTTTCACTTTGGACCACCTTTTATTACGATTGTTTCACTTTACATTACTCTTTAACTAATGTTTTCACTTTAAACCGGGTAATCTTACTTTGTGTCACTTTGGATCACCATCAACTCTTTTATCCATCTACATTAAATTTGTCATTTGTCAAATAAATTGTCTATATAAAGCGGTGGGAGTTCACTGACGAATCAGAGTTGGCGTACTCAAAATCATTCGTATGCTTGAAAGAGAGTAAGGGCAATCCAAAATGCAGCAAAAGTAATATTACTCGATCCAAAGTGAAAACATTGGTTAAATAGTGATCCAAAGAGAAATACCGGTAATAAAAGGTGACCCAAAGTGAAATTTTACTAAACTTTTAAACTATCAATTTATGCTAAATTAAGTTTACAAAACCAATATTAAGTTCACAACAATATGTTACTTTCAAGGCAACGCAAATTTACGCGTATATACCACCTTTACTTTTAAACTAAAAAATGATATTCTATTGATGGCCCTTTAAAGAAAATTTGCAACTGTATATGGCACCTGAATGGTTATGTATCAATCATGAGAGGAATCCAATGGTTATTACTTTTCTAGATGTCATGGTTCAATGTACATTAAATTTTATAACAATTAACTATATTTAGTGGATTGTAAATGCATATGGCATATGGATGGTTGAGATGAAAGCATGAGATGGATCAAAAAGCTACTATTTTCTAGATGTAGGGATGCAAGTGGGTAGTCCCGCTACCCGCATAAAAACCCGCTTGCTAGTGTATTTTTTACATCATAGTACAAAATTTAGAAGAAAAATGAACTAGAAGTGGGATAAGCGGGAAAAAAAAACCCGCTTGCCCGCCCCGCTTGCATCCCTATCTAGATGACATGGCTCAATGCATGTCAAGTTTATGGTTCCAACTATAGTAGGATATATAGATATAGATATCTAAATAATCTATATTTGTTCTATAGTAGTTGATGTGAAAATACAATACTCCATCCATCCTTAATTATAAGGGATTTTAGTTGGATGTGGTGTATTCTAGTACTACGAATCTGGATATACTCTATGTCCAGATTCGTAGTATTAGGATGCGTCACATCCAACCAAAATCCCTTATATTTAGGGACGGGGGAATACTACATAACACTTAAGGCCTGTTTGGGGGAGCTTCTATCTGCTGCAGCTTCTCCCAGAATCATAAGCTCCCCCAAACAGTACAGCTTTTGGTCCAGATTCTAAGAAGCTGTAGTTGTAGAATCCAGAAGATGAACTATAAGTCAGAAGCTGGGAAACCCAGCTTTTCCAGATTCTCAGAAGCTGGCTACCAACCAGTTGCTTCTCAGAATCTTAAGCTCCCCCAAATATGCCCTTAGATTTTTTATGTATCAAACATGAGAGGGATCCAATGACTATGTGTTATAGTTCAATGCACATTAAGCTTTATAGCAATAACTATTCTTAGTGGATTGTAAATGCATATGACAAATGGATGGTTGAGATCAAAGCATGAGAGGTATTTTTTTATGGAAGAAATATCAAAACAAGTTCAAACACCACCAACCATTTATTAATGGTGATTTTGCCATCCAAATACCAGCATGTCCTTTTGACTTTTATGGTTTAAAATGCTAACTAGATGATTTAAGTATGTTTAAAACAAATTTTCGGTGCGGCAACAATATATGCTACAACATGAAGACTGATGAGGACATCCTCCACTATTACCCGCTGGCAAAGACGCCAAAGTCGGGCGGCGACCGTGTGAGCCTTTGAATAATCCCACCTTGCTTAGCTTGGGAGGAAGAAGCCACCTTAAAAGGGAGAGCCACCCTTCCCTTATTGGACTAGTCTTTTAGAGAGATTAGGCCTTTCCCCGAGTGGGTGTGCCTAAGAACTGTTGGGGTCCGGGCAACCTTAAGTTATTAGGCCTTGGCCGACCCCACCTGAGCTGGATTGTTATCATTTGATACGGCAACCTTAAGTTATTAGGCCTCGGCCGACCCCACCTGGGCCGGATTGTTATCATTTGGTATCAGAGCTGGGCCCTTGTTAAGAGGGTGGGAATGATGAGGACATCCTCCACTATTACCCGCTGGCAAAGACGCCAAAGTCGGGTGGCAACCGTGTGAGCCTTTGAATAATCCCACCTTGCTTAGCTCGGGCGGCGACCGTGTGAGCCCACCTTGCTTAGCTCGGGCAGCGACCATGTGAGCCTTTGAATAATCCCACCTTGCTTAGTTTGGGAGGAAGAAGCCACCTTAAAAGGGAGAGCCACCATTCCCCTATTGGACTAGTCTTTTAGGGAAATTGGGTTCCCCGAGTGGGTGTGCCTAAGAACTGTTGGGGTCCGGGTAACCTTAAGTTATTGGGTCTCGGCCGACCCCACCTGGGCCGGATTGTTATCAAAGACTAAATTAAATAGCTCTTAAGAAAGTATTATAATTGGTTTTAAAAGTCGATGGATATAAGGAAAATCCCGACCTAGAAACTATATGGTACTTATCATACTCGCCATATCATATATCATATAGGTACTACGTATAAAAATTGTATGCCCAAAATGGTTTCTTCAAAATAAATTCTTATCTAATCTCATCTCCCTTGCTCCTTGTGTTAATTCTTGTTTCTTGCATAGAGCTGGTTTCTTTATCTTTTGCCGTTATTCTTATTAACTCTCTTGCCACCTTAGTTTTTCTTCTTATGTCACACGATATTTAATGCTATGTAAGCTAGCTGAAATAGAGGGTTGGAACTACCCTAACATATCCGGTTCTATAAGTGATATATTTCTAGGTTTACAGGTTGTGTGCTTTACTTATAAAAAAATATGGCATACACGGTTTCTTCCATATGCAAGCCCCATCGAATAAGGTCAAAAATCAGTTGTTGCTCGACAAAAATCAAAGTAGGCGATAGAAATGCTTGGTTGGGTCCAGCTAGCATAAAAGCAAATTTTTTTGGAAGAATTGAATATTGATAGTACTATATCTCTAGCTCTAACACAGTTGTACCTACATATATGGAACATATTCCTTTAATCATACATCAATTTCTAGTAGTACGTTACTTAGCACCGGTACTTGTATTTATTACTAATTATTTTCTTTAATTATAGATGATGTACCTATCAACGACGAGATACTTATAATGACTTTAAATATGTCAGATCAGACCTTGAAAGGTGTTCATATGGATAGAGCGTGTTTGTTTATAGAGTGAGTATTTGCGCCTAAATGTAATGTGTGTCAAGAAAAGAAATCCCAATTCCGACATCGTTTTTTAAAAGAAAACTGCAACCTGAGCAAAGACAAGGACAGTAAAAAAACAAACTTAATCTAGGATTTCAATGACGTCTACTGATCTTAGGGCCTATTCATTTTGGAGGAATTTAAACATATAGGAATAGTAAAAGTGGAGGAATAGGAATGCATGAAAACTTCAATCCATAGGAATTTTCCAAAAAGGTTTGAGTGGATGAAAAAGTGTCTATGTTTTCTCTCTATAACTTGTAAAAAAAAACTTTGTTTCCTATACCTACATTCTTATTAACCGAATGATACTCATATGAATTAATCCTTAGGAATCCAAAACCTTTGAATTTCCTCCAAAACGAAAGAGGACATATTTTCATGAAAACGAGTTAAGTGTTGAAAACTCATGAAAATCATATCAAAAAGTTTCGTAAATTCATGAAAAAAAATACTAGAGATAGGTGTAGATATGAAATACATTCTCACCAAATCTCAACTCTAAACTCAACTTCGTTTAAGAGGAAAAAAAAGACAAATTTCAGGTTAATAGTAAGAGGACACTATTCACCTGAAATTTGTCTTTTTTGTTACACCTAAATAAAGTTAAGTTTGAACTGGAGAATTGTGAAAATGTATTTTATATCTACACCTATATGTAGTTTTTTTCATAAATTTATAAAACTTTTAGGTATGATTTTCATGAGTTTCCAACACTTAGCTCGTTTTGTCCCCAAACGGATATGCCCTTCAGAGGGTTTACACAGGCTTACAGCCACAACATATGGTGTCCATATATGTTTGCTTAGGTAATTAGAGGAATTCACTATTTCTTTAAATATATAAATCATTTGATTCATTAAGTGTAACTTGGGTCAAATTTGAGCTGAATCATACATAAAACTCAGAATATATAGTTCAGC